AGCGTTTTTAAAGATAACCTCAGGAGACCCTCCAAAATGCCCAGAATGCACTGAAAAATAGTAAAAATTAACTATTTCAGATGTTTTGAGAGGAATAGAGAGATAGCAGAAATGGCGAGAGCAGTATGTGTTGAAATGACCTGTCTTTTCTGGTTGTATTCACTATGGATCCCATCATGAGCATATTGCAGCACGTTCTACCAGTTTTTCCTTCACGTGAAACCTGGAACTGACTGCACTGGTGTACTAGGTCCACTTGAATACATGGAAATGCTTTGCATGCATTTCTGATGATGAAAAAAGGCTCTGGACAGCATCTGGATATGGAACAGTTAAAAAACGCTTCTAAACGCAAGCGCTTATAAATGCAGTTAACTGCGTTTACAAGCATTTGGCGTTTGAAACGACGGTAAAATCTACTCCTGAATGCAAGTTTGGTGCGTTCAAAAACGACTGTAAATTGAACATCCTGTAACTGTGTGTACATGGACACATAGGAAAACATTATGGAGAGTTCAGGGGCTGCTGAAAAAAACGCTGAACAGCTCCTGAACAAAAAATAATTATGAGTTACCCCTTCCCACCCACAAACTGTATGTTAGTGTTCTCCAGCATAATGCTCTTGCTGATGATACATTATAAAAATGTCCTTCAATTGAGAGCCATTAGCTGATACATTGCTTTGATGGCTCTTTATCCTAGCTATCACTGAGAGCCACACAAACGCTGTCAATAACAGTCGAAAAAACTAATCCCTATCATGTGATCACTGTTCGCTATTACAAAGGTTTGCTGGTTCACTGAAAAAAATAGGCATTCCGCCCACAGACATCTGATACATTGTCTGTAGGCATTACATTTTCAAGAAAAACCTGTCTATTTTGAGTTATTGATTTGTGAAAGCCAGGTGATCTAGAAAAACAACGGTATTCTGCAAAAATCTACAAGAGTTGTAATCAGAGCAATCACATGACTAAACCAGATGCAATTACTTTAGGTGACTGCCAATAGACTTCTCAATCCAGCAAACATGACACAAAATTACCTTTACAAACCTGTTGTTTTTTTTTAATAGTAACTCAGAAATTTAAAGTGGAGTTCCAGTGAAAATAAACGTCAGCAGCTACAAAATCTGTAGCTGCTGACTTTTAAAGAATGGACGCTTACCAGTCCCTCGATCCCGTGGTGTCCCCCTAGCAGCCAGTTTCCCCGGATGCCCTGTGTTCCCGATGACGGCATCTTTGGTGTGGGCACCCAGGTGTGACAGCTTGCGGCTTCACAGCCGTGTGCTCACTGCACATGCGCGAGAGATGCTACACTTTGTGAATGGTCCTCTAGTCTTCTGGGACCTGTCCAGAAGACTACGGGGAGGGAGGGGGGGGAGGACAACTTCCACTTCCAATCACCTAGGTGATCGCAGCGGAAGTGGGTACCTGTCAATTTCGGGTACCCTCTCCCCAAAGGTGCCAATCCTTAACGGGGAGCGGGGGACCAGGCCATAATGCAGAACTTCCCCTTTTAGGTGGAGCTCCACTTTAAAGACTAATACATACCAGGTGCATTTCCATAAACTTTTTTGAATTTTACAGGACAAGACATTTGCATTGACATGATATTTTTTTTTCAGCTGTGTCTGTTCTCGCCAATGTGTCGCATTGTAACATGCTAAAAAGGGGTAATGCTGTCCTGCAAATTTCTATTAATGTCCATTCATATGGAGTCTTTAACCGAATAAAGCAATGCAATGTATCTAAAATACTTGTCAATGCACAGTAATATAAAAAATGCATTTGGGTGTGAGCAAGCCCTTAGCGTGCATAGTTTTCAAACGGGTTGATTTACACGCAACATCAGACCCCGACCGCTCCAGCCCTGGCAGACTGATCACACCAAAACCCTCAAACGACACAGTCGTGCCCTGGAGCGACTATGGCGCAAAACCAAATCCCAACAAGCCTTCACCCGCTACAAATCTTCCTTCCACACCTACACCTCCTCCCTCCATGCTGCCAAACAAGCCTACTTCTTGACCCTCATCAAGGCCCTCTCCTCCAATCCTCGCCGACTCTTCTCCGCCTTCAACTCTCTACTCTCTCCACCCCCCCACCTCCACCCAGCACCTCACTCACTGCCCTTGAGATTGCCAATCACTTCAAAAACAAGATTGACACAATTCGCAAGGACATTGCTGCAACTCACACGCCCTCTCAACCCGTCCCCTCTCACACAGCTACCCCCTTATCCCCCCTTCCCCTCGACATAACCCGCAGGGACTTCGTCGCTGCTCAAACTCTCTCCAACCCCCTTCACCCTCACTCAGCTACCCCCTCACCACCCCTCTCCCACGGCCCCACCACTGCTCTGACCTCCTCTTCCACCCCACCCTACATTCCTCATACTGAAGCTCCCCCAACACTCCGCACCTTTGACCTTACTACCATCGAGGAAGTCTCCAAGATCCTCTCTGATGCCCGCCTCACCACACCTGCCCCCGACCCTATCCCCTCACAACTCCTACGACCTCCTTCCCCCTCCATCCTACGCTCCCTCACCCACATCTTCAATCTCTCCCTCTTCTCCGGCACTTTCCCCTCCCCTCTGAAACATGCACACATCACCCCCATACTTAAAAAGCCCTCCCTGGACCCTAATGACCCGAACAACCTCAGACCCATCTCCCTGCTCCCATTTACATCTAAACTCCTCGAGCGCCTAGTCTACACCCGCCTATGCTCTCACCTCAACGACAACAACCTCCTCGATCCCCTACAGTCCGGCTTCCGTCCCCTACACTCCACCGAAACTGCCTTACTCAAACTCTCCAACGACCTGCTAACTGCCAAAGCTAATGGCCACTATTCAGTGCTCCTTCTCCTTGACCTCTCTGCGGCCTTCGACACAGTCTACCACCCCCTCCTCCTCAAAAAACTACACTCCCTCGGCCTCAGAGATTCTGCTCTCTCCTGGCTCTCATCCTACCTGTCACAACGCTCCTTCAGCGTTACCTATAATGCTACCACCTCCCCCTCACTCCCCCTCTCTGTTGGGGTCCCTCAAGGCTCTGTCCTTGGGCCCCTTCTCTTCTCCATCTATACTTCCTCCCTTGGCCAACTCATACACTCTCATGGCTTCAACTACCACCTCTATGCCGACGACACACAAATCTATCTCTCAACCCCCCACCTCACCCCCTTGGTCTCAGCCCGAATCACACACCTACTGAGCGACATATCAGACTGGATGTCACTCCACTTCCTTAAATTGAACCTCTCCAAAACCGAGTTTCTTGTCTTCCCCCCAGCCCGGACACCACCCCCCATTGACTTCTCCGTCACATCCAACAACGCTACCATCAAACCCGCCCTGCAGGCCAGAGTACTTGGTGTCATTCTGGACTCCAACCTATCCTTTCAACCCCAAGTCCAATCTTCAACAAAACTCGTGCAGACTCCACCTCCGCAACATCGCCAAAAATCCGCACGTTCCTAACCCCAGAAACCACTAAACAGCTCATCCACTCCCTCATCATATCACGACTCGACTACTGCAACTCCCTCCTCACTGGCCTGCCTCGCCGCTGGCTATCCCCGCTTCAGTCCATCCTGAATACGGCTGCCAGACTCATTCACCTTTCCAACCGCTCTGTATCCGCCACCCCCCTCTGCCAATCCCTCCACTGGCTTCCGATTGCGCAACGGATCAAATTCAAAATCCTAACGCTGACGTACAAAGCTGTCCACCATACTGCCCCGCCCGAATTACATCACTGACCTAATATCCAAGTACCGCCCAGCACGCACACTCCGCTCCTCACAAGACCTCCTTCTCTCTAGTTCCCTGGTCTCCTCCTCCCATGCCCGCCTCCAGGACTTCTCCAGGGTGTCCCCCATCCTCTGGAACTCCCTGCCCCAGTCCATCAGATTATCACCTACTCTCCTCTCCTTTAGGCGCACCCTGAAAACCCATCTCTTCAGGGAAGCCTACCCCACCCCCTGCTAACTTGCCGACCTCCTCCACTCTTTCTACCACTCCATCCCCCACAGCTATCTCCTCCTGTGCCACCATCCCCTCCCTCCTAGATTGTAAGCTCGAAATAGCAGGGCCCTCGATCCCCTCATGTTTTGCATTGTATTGGTATTGTTCTGTCACATGTTCTGTCCCCCTTTGTAATGTACAGCGCTGAGTGAACTATTGGCACTTTATAAATACTGTATATAATAATAATAATAATAATTAAAGGCATATAGGCTATTCACTTTGCAAAGGAGGTTGCAGTTTGCAAAGTGAAATGTTACCACATCTATGCTTTTGGGAAAATTTCCAAGCAAAGACTATCTAATCACATGCAAGGAAAATGCAAAGAAACAGCATTTTTGCTCACACACAATTAACCACTTGCCTACCAGGCACTTTATACCCCCTTATTTACCAGACCAATTTTCAGCTTTCAGCGCTGCTGCACTTTGATTGACAATTGCGCAGTCATGCAACATTGTACCCATATGAAAATTTTGATAATTTTTTTCTCACAAATAGAGCTTTGTTTTGGTGGTATTTAATCGCCACTGGGTGCTTTACTTTTTGCGCTATAAATAAAAAAATTGCCAAAAATTTGAAAAAAAAAAAAAAGTTTCTTTGTTTCTATTATAAAATTTTTCAAACAGGTAATTTTTCTCCTTCACTGATGTGCGTTGATGAGGCAGCACTGATGGGCACTGATAGGCGGCACTGATGCACTGATGGGCACTGATGATAGGCAGCACTAAAGGGCACTAATAGGCAGTACTAATGAGGTGGCACGGATAGGCGGCACTAATATGCAGCACTGATAGGCGGCACTGATAGGTGACACTGATGATGGGTACTGATAGGCGGCACTGACTGGCATCACTGCTGGGCACTGACTGGCGGCACTGACTGGCACAACCGCTGGGCACTGACTGGTGGCACTGACTGGCAGCACTGCTGGGCTGCACTGGTGGGTGGCACTGGTGGGCAGCACTGGTGGGTGGCACTGGTGGGCACAGGTGGGTGGCACTGGTGGGCACAGGTGGGTGGGCACAGGTGGGTGGCACTTCTGGGGGTACAGGGCACAGGTGTGTGACATTGCAGAGTGGCACAGGTGGGTGCACTGCTGGGCACAGGTGGGTGATCTGCTGGGCACCGGTGGGCGGAGCTAGTGGGCGCACTGCTGGGCACAGGTGGGCGGAACTTGCGGGTGGCACTGCTGCACCGATCATCAGGGCACCGATCATCAGGGCACTGATAATCAGTGCCCTGATGATCGGTGCCGATCCCCGCTCTGACAACTGCCGGTTCTCGGCAGTACTTTCCTCACGATCTGACAGCATGAGGAAAGTGCAGCCGAGAACCGGCACTTGCATTTCCCTCTGATCAGCGTGTCATTGGACACCACTGATCAGGTGGTAAAAGGCCGCTGTGATTGGCCTTTTACCACATCACGTGATCAGCTGTGTCCGTAGGACACAGCGATCACGGAGATCGCCGGGTGTGCGCGCCCCCCTGGGGCGCGCAGGAGAGCGCGTTCTGGGGGGACGTCATATGACGTCCACTCAGAACTGGCCGGCCGCAGTGCAGCCGTCATTCGGCTATCTGCGGTCGGCAACAAGTTAAATGATGGAAGTCAGCAGAGCTTAACCTCATTTATTAAACTCTGGCAAAATCCCTTTGCAAAGTGAACTGTCCACTCGCCTTTAGAAAATCAACCCCTAAGTATCCATTCTTCAGGGAATGGGGAAGGAGACACAGAACATCTTTGTTTTCTATGTGATGTCCACTGTTAGCTATTGTATTTGTCTGTATAATGCAAATGTTCATGGATGCCTGGTAAATTGAAGGTTCCTAGCAGTATATCTGCAACGTACAAGGGTGCTGCTGAATGCACATTAGTGAAAATGAATAGGAAAGAAAATTATCTAAGAGCACTGATGTGTGTTCAGTGCTTCTTAAATGCACTATAATATTGCCAGGATGCTTCAAGTTACTCTGCACCTAAATTAGTCCTTATACATTCACTCTCAATATAGATATCTCGCAGGACCTCTCAGGACATTTTCACAAGCCATAAATATATTTTTTTCTTAAATGACTAATCCACTCTAGTAGGCATCATTAAACTGTATAGTTTTCCCTGACAAAGCCACGTGGTTGGTGGCATAGCGGGTGCAGTGAAGCCTAGTGATATCATTGCTGGTACTCTTGCGGACCGAAATTCTGTATGTTAACTGATCTGTCATGTTCATTAACATGTGAGTGTTACTCTGGAACATATTTTAATTAAATAAACATTATTACGCTATGGGAGTTGTTTTTTCTCTTCTTCCTACATGTGGAGCATAAAGCTGAGAAGATTTCCGTATTGAGTGTTATCTGAGGTGGTGCCTGTTTTCAGCTCTTTGATGGCATCTGGAGCCTCTTTGACTGGTTGACCTATATTAGTTTATAGGTCCACCATATGAGATGAGCGGCCATCCTTAGGCTCCATGTACACGGAACACTTCTGAATGATAGAAACTGACTGCTGGAAAATGTATTTAAATAACATCTGTTTAGCTGCATTTGCATACCATGTTTATGCGCGTTTATGAACGTCTTAGAAAGCAGAAGCAGAGAGAGCAGTATTTGTTGAGATTAGCTGTTTTTTTTTGTGGTGTTTGGATGTGTTCCAGCACATTTCTGTGCAGAAAATTATTGCAGCACTGTCTAACATATTTTCTTTCATCCGAAACCTCAAAGTATGGTGTGCCAGGTTCATTTGAGTACCGGGGAAAATGCTTTGCATGCATTTTTCATGATGAAAAAAGGCTCTGGACAGCATCTGGAAATGGAAGAGTTAAAAAGATTTTCCAAACGCAAATGCTTATAAATGCGGTTAGCTGCGTTTACAAGTGTTTGGCATGTGAAACGCTGATAAAATCTACTCCTGAATGCAAGTTTGGTGTGTTCAAAAAAAACGACTGCAAACTCAACTGCCTGTAAACGACTGTAAACAACATAGTGTACATGGACACATAGGAAAACATTAGGGAGAGTTCAGGGGCTGCTGAAAAAAAACACAGAAAAGCTTCTAAATGTGAGTTTATCAGCTGCAGTGTACATGAAGCCTTACCAATAGGTGGAGGTGCACTGTTTAAGTTTCAGCTATTTGGAGCACATTGCATATAACAAGCACTTTTTCATGCACTATTGTTGGACTGCATTGTCACATTTATTAAGGACTCTTTGAATATTAATTTCATATGTTAATACATTTAGGAGTTAGCACAACACTGTTATTATGTATATTAAACTGTATTTGATCCAGCATTTTGAGTTATTCTAAAAGTGTATAATTTTTGCTTTCACAGCCATGTTATTGAAAACATTTTAGGCCTTTCAATTTAAATATTATGATAACTAGATATTGTTGCAAATGAAACAGTTTAATTCTTCCATTTATTGACATTTGAAATTAATTTTCAGTTCATGTTATTAAGTTACTTAAATGTTTTTACTTCTGTTGGGCAACAGGACGCATTACACTTGGATAAAGGCCAGATAATTAGAACTCTTTATGTATAAAAACAATTATCATTGGCACTCTGGCAGTCATACTTTTCATGATCTGTAATTGTTTTGTTTGATTGTATATCAGCTGTGAAGCAGTGCTGATGTAATCACTACTAAACCTCAGCATTTCTGTTTGTGTCGCTTTTATTGTACTGAAAAGGCTGACACATTACCACTGACATTTTTTAAATTATTGCTCTATGGTGATATGATTGCTTGTCATAATGACTAAAATTATCTCAATTAATAAATATGCCAAAGACATAGAACCGTGTTTTCAGTTTGCCATTTATCCAAAAAATCATTGAAATCTTATCTGCATCAGTATAAAATGAACTTGCCTGGTGTAATAATGGATCTAATTTTGCTAAAGTCTTTTTACACTTTTTTCATTTTCTCATATTAGTCTGTGATTAATAGAAATGTGGGGACTTTTGCGTCACTAGTAGATTGTAAGTACAGCAAGTAAAGAATAAAGGTGATCAATTACCAGAATGTTTACATGAATGGACCGTCATGGCATTATATAGGAAATAAGTAACAAATGTATGACTGAGCAACTTTTGCTGCATTGTTGAAGAAAATTGTTGGTTATATGCATTAAGAGCAATATTTTTTTTATGGAAGACACTTAGCCTGATTCTATAAAGCAATTGGAAGGAGCAGTGAGCCCAGCACCTAATCAAATTTCAGCATACTGGAGAAAGATCAGTGAAAGGTGAATTTGATCACATTTCATTGGTTACTGTATTTTGAAATTTCTCTTTTTAACTTATCAAACTTCACTCTCTAAATCAAGATTGACTCTTTTGAATCCTGGTGCTGCTAGCATTAGTAAATAGATATGAAAAATATATTATATTTACTTTTTTTAAACAATTTTTTACAGTTATTTAGTCACTTCCTAGTTTCCATGCCTAGGAAATGATGTCATACAGGAGTCTTCAGGAGGGGAAGAGGGATTTTCTCAGCTAAGCATACCCTCCTGCTTATATGGCTGAAATAAAGGCAGATGGATTCCAGGAAGTAACTGCTACATGAATCATCTGCCCTTACTCAAGATGGCCCCGGAGGGTGTTTTTCTAAGCAATTTCTCCGTAAAAAAATGAATTCAATAGCACTTTTGGTTGGTGGTACTTGGATACAGCGTAGTTCTGCTTTAAGTAATAGCTAACAGAGATAAGAATCTAATGTTTACATCCTGCATTGGAAATAATATAGGGTGCCCCATGGACCCCTCATCCTTGCTGCAGAGTGTAGAAGATCTTTTACAGGCTCTGTAATGATAACACAGGTTATAAGAAGAGGTATTACACAGCCCAGGAACAAGGTAATTGTAGGGATCTGCTGCAATTTACCGTCTTTATTTGTAAATAGCTTTTGCTTATTAAATACCCATACCCATACAGAGGTAGTTGGTTACAGACAGATATTTCCTTTACCTGCTAATTGGGTCAGAAACCCTGACTGAAGGTGATGTTATATTCAAAGGAGCTTCAAGGAAGCAAACACGAGAAACTGTACCACGTGGCCTTATACACACAGGCACTGCTGTACTTTCACCCAGACTAAAAGCAGAGACTATTAGGCAAGTATTGCTATGTTTAAATAGTTTGGAAAACAACTGCCCATAGCTTCTGGATCATTTATGTAAATATTTGTGACAGACAATCTCTGTCACAGTGCCAGATAGCTAGGTCTGTGCTAGTGGCAGATATCTAGGTCTGTGCTATTGTATGTTTGTGACAGTCACTTTCCAGTATATTAGTAGGTGAACCTGTTTATTGCAATATAATTTATATGCAGCTCTTGTTATTTTAGTCAACCCCATCCCTTCTGGTCTAGGATTACATAGCTAGTTTTAGCTCATTTCTTGATAACCAGCATAGGCTGGAGCCAGGTTAGGCATCTGACAGCCACTTCCTGTAGTTGTATGACAGATTAGAAACTACTAGGGACTAAGATGCAAAGTAGATAGGCAGACGCTGACTTGCAGTGCCACACCACAGTTTGTTGATGAGAATCTGCTTTCCAGGCTGGTTGGACAAGGGTTGGATGATCTTCACATCGCTGTTGATCTGGTCTTCGGATCACTGACACAAAAATGGATGGGGGATCCCTGCAACTGAACTTTGCTGCAATGTCCATCTGGAAATATCTTTATTAATAACTATATATACCTGGCTACATGTGCACAAATCTAGGACCCTTGTTGGCCCCTTTGCTGGTAATACTTGTTCGTACATTGGATGTATGTACTATTAATATTCCTTTTTTATGTAAACCTTGTATTATTTCCATACTGGCATGCATCTATATCTTATGATTATTGTTACATGCTAGCTGCAGTAGTTCCTCTGCTCCCAATTACTTTGATTAGATTACTGATTAATTTCCAAGTAAGGGAAACCCATCTATTCACAGAGGCCCTGTCCTGGGCAGAAGCACTGCCAACTTCATTGTTAAACCTACTCTTCCACTTAGGGAAAATTCTAGTTCACTTATTTACAGGTTTAGCACACTATTCTGTTTGGGGAGGGTGCTTTTGTATAACCCCCCCCAAAAAAAAAATAGGGCTACATAAGTAAAAAAGAAAAAAAAAACAGCAACGGACGCTATACAGGGGAATACAGAGATTTACAGTACCTTTAATCACTGGAGTTTAGTTTTAAAGGATAATGATACAAAAGTATACTTCAAACAGAACACTTATGACTACAAACATTAGAGATCCCAACTGTGTGGAGCAGAGATGTGCAGTTATTTTATTACCTATCATTTTTGGTGAGACATCTGGCTTATGGCCGCAGTAA